CTCATAGCGACCCCTCCTTGGGTTTCTGAGGCAGTATCACTACGGAAGTAGATTGCCCAACCTTCCTTCCAAGGAGTGGCTGGTGGGTTTGAACCCTTTGCACTACCCACTGATAAATAATGTTTTTTGGTTTCTTATAAGCCAGGCAATGGGCTAAGTGCCTTGCATACGTGATCTTACTAAATCTGCTCAAGGACCTTCTTAGATAGCCACAATTATGATGTCCATTTGAGAGATGGGAAAGTGAGGCTCAGAGAGGTTCAGGATGTAGCAAACATAACAAGTGACCCCCATTCCTGGTGGAAAGGAGCCTGCATGCCCCGCTGGGTCCAGGTGGTGCCGACTTACCAGATGATCATGAAGAAGGGCACCGCAAAGGCCTCGGACGTGGCGCCGTGGATCAGCGCCTGCAGCGAGCTGGGGAATGTGCTCACCGTCTTGGGAACCACCTCCCAGGTGGTGTTGAAGTTGGTGAACGGCCCACAAGCTTTGGAGGACGGGATGCTGCCAGGACACAGATTAAGGGGCTCAGGACAGGTGAGCGGCACACGTCAAGCCTACCCTGTCTGCATGCACAAAACGCTTTGCTAGCAGTGACCCAGAGGAAACTGCCTGACCTCATGGGCCTCCCGGAGTATTCTGATCCAAAATGCCTAGTCTGGATATCCTCAGATCTCTAGACTCAACTTCCAATGTATAGGGAATTCAGGGGAGAGAGGAGCAAGTTAAATGACACTGGAAGGAAACAGACAAACTCAGAATGTGCAGATTCTATTCTCCAACCTCTTAATTTAGGTAAGAGGACACTGGCCTGGTCTCTTCACAAACAAATCAAAGATTAAAACAGACTAAAGAGAGATAACAATCAATAGCAATAGTCAATCTTGAAGGATCTTCATTTAAAAGGAAAAAAAAATGCTATAAAAGACTATTTTGTGACAGTTGGAGAAATCTGAAAAGGGCACAATGCTGGATATAAGCATTAATTACCTGAGGTGTGACCATGTCATTATGGATACATATGAGAATGGCCTTACCCTTAGGAGTTGCATGCTCAAGTATGTGAGGGTATAGAGTCATGGTACCTGAAACTTCATTTCAAATGGTTCATCTCACACATACACACACACACAAAATGTACACAAAGAGAGACAAAATACGTGTGGTAAAATGTTAACAATTGCGATGTCTTGTTGAGGGGTATATGAGTGTTCATTTTTGTTATTTTTAACTTTCCAATGGATTTGAAACTTTCCAAAATAAAAAGTAGGGAATAATTTTAACAGAAAAGAAAGAAAATTAAGGCCTAAAAAGAATCACCTGAATTCATATCACAAAATATTTATGTATAATATTTTCCATTGTAGCTGTGTTTGTAGTGATAAAAATAAATCCCTAGAAACAACTTAGATGTTTCTTAATGAAATGAGTGAATAACTTACAGTTCATTCATACAATGGAATGATAAACAGTCACTGAGAGGGACAGAGAGAAAGAGACAGACTGAGGGAAACTCAACAGCTGAGAAATAGGATTAGAAAACCAATCTTCACCATTTACTCTTTTTGAATTTTGTGAATATATGAGTGTATGCCTTATAAAAAAGAAAACTAAAGTTAAAAAGTATTTTAAAAGATTGAGATAGCTCTGTATGTGCTAGCATGGAAAAAGGTACAATGCATACAATTAAGAGGAAAAAAAAACAAGTTGTCAAACAGGATTGTCCCAATGTGTTTTTAAAATATGGATATATTTTTCATGAGCTTCTGGAAGTTTTCATAAGAAGATGTAAATGTTATCTTGAGGGAGCAATGGTGAGAGGTGAGAGGGAGGAGAACTGAGAGGTGAAGATGAGGGATAATTTTCCTCTTCAATTTATTCCCTTCTGGTTTTGGTTTATACCATTTGGCAAGGAGCTCTGGTGGTGCAGTGCCTAAAGCATCTGACTGCTAACGAGAAGGCTGGTTGTTCAAAACC